CCTATAATAGTATAGTTTTTTAAACAGGATCCTTATTGTGTTTATCCCGTGGGAACTTTATTGCTAAAATGTAAAACCCATTTTTTTTGGTTTTTAATATCTTTGTAAGGCAAAATCACTTGGTCGTTCCACAAATCGTAGTGGATGTGGGTGGTGAGGAGCCTTACAAAAAAAAATGCAATTATTTTTTTTCATCGTTTTTCGGATGTACAGTATATCCGAACATTTATTCATCAAATTTGCATACCCATCTGGACATCAGAAATATTTTTATTTTATTTATAAAAATACGTCAAACCATTGTTGTATATGGAGAGCGCCTTTCATACAAAATCACTTGTTCTGAACAACCCATATTTTTAAAATCTTTTACCTCGCTCTACCTCGAAAAATATTGGGTTTTAGCAAAAAATTACTTTCTATAAACATTAAAGACCAAAAATCAAAGAAACACGTGGGTTTTTTTAGAATTTCGATTGGATGCTTAGTTTAAGAAAAAAGTAAATAAATCGAACGGAATATCACGACGGACAGTGCTGATCGCCGAGATGCGAGGAAGGGCGAGGATTTCTAATCTGAAGTCAAAGCAAATCGACTCTAGTGATGGCGGGAAGTATGTTAGGGTCGAATTTTACATTGAAACGCTGTTGTGTTTGTATATTCTATTGCGAAAGTGCATCATTGTGCATTATTTTATACTAATAGCGCGAAATCCACTGAGCTGAGATTTTTTTATATTAAAAGTTTTAAATTATTAAAAGTTATTAATTAGCTTATTGCTATATATAAAAATATTAAATATCTACTTAATATTAAAGTAAATATTTTTTTCATCTAGAAAACGAATTTAAACGAAAAGCAGCAGGTCTGACAGTGAACTTGAGTCAAAAATCAGATTAAGGCATGTTTTTTTCCATAAAGTCCATTTCTTTTTCAGTTTGTTGAAGGACGCGGAAACTGGAGAATACATTTTTGTTCTAGTTTTCGAAAAATGCATCCTTACTTCTTTGCATTTGTCCATGTGAAACTATTCTTTTTGGGGAACATTATATTTGTTGGACATGTACAAATTTGCTGATAAGTATCCAGAATTTCATGAAGACTTTATTAGAGGAAATTTTGTTGTGAAAAGTTTGAACAGAAACTTTTACCAACTATTTGTAGATACAGCTTTAAACATATAAATACAAACTCAAAAGATGCAGGAGAAATCGTGTGATTTACTAAAACCAGCACCAAACTAGACGAATGATTTTTAAGCTATAATATGATTGGCATGATGGTAGATGAATTTCGTGCATCATGAGACCTAAGCAACCACTCAAGTCAAAACGTAGAAAGTAGAAAAAAACGGATGAAAATTGATGAATATTCTGTACAAAAACTACATGGTCAGTTTTTACAATTTAATGTATTTTTAAAAAGCGTAGATCGTCTTCTCGTAATTTCAGCCAATGAGATTGCATCGCCAATGTTCAAACATCCTTACTAAATATACAAAAAAAAAAATGAAAAAGAGAGCCTAGCGAAATGTATTGTTACTGTTGGAACTCCCAATTTTTATCAGCATAGAAAGAGAATAATCTTCCAAGACTTCGTCGCGCAGGTACCTATAAAACTGTCTCTGAAAAGAAGAAATTGAAAAATTGCGAAATGAAAAATACCAGTTCCTCCAACTTATAATCGAGGGTAAAATTGAAGGCAAGAGAGGAATGGGACGCAAGAAAATGTCCTGGCTCCGAAACATAAGGCAATGGACAGGGATTAACGACATACAATCTCTGATACATATTGCAAGAAATAGAGAGTTAATGGAAAATGTGATCGCTAACATCCATTAGTGGATTTGCATCTGAAGAAGAAGAAGAAGAAAAGAAGAAAATTATTCAAGATGAGCAAGAATTTTACAAAAAATACTAGCAACCAAGGCAATTGAAAAGAGACATATATATTATGAGGATATTTTCAAATATGAATTGACACTATACCCAATGTCACTTGTACCAGCAGGAGTTTTAATCGATACCATAAAATAAATCTGCCTTAGGTTCTATAATAAACATTTACAGTTGTTACAAAATCACAAAACGTGTCACATTTTTGATGGTATGGGATTGATTCAAGTAGTTGGCAAACCATCAAATGCCAAAACATTTGACGACTATGCAAGAATTTTGAAATCAATAGTGTTCAAGAACCCCTACAACGTTTAAAAGGATCGATTTTGTTTTGGATCACTACAAGGAATCTTCCATAAAAAACTGCACGAGACAAAAGAGAGGCGCCAAAATTTAATCAACACAAACGGTTAATTAAAGGTCCGGATACAGTATTACCTCAAAAATGGAATTCATTTATTAATTGAGTTTTTAATAAAACCAGCTTGCACACTTCGTAAGCAATCAGCTAGTTAAATATTCCTTAACAAATTGTAACCGCTCACTTCGTATCCAGCAGAGGATTTTGCGACGTTTTACATTACAAAACAAATTTTGGTTGAATTCTGAAATATTAGTCTCATCACATAAAGAGGCAGATAACCAGAATAATATTACACATTCTGTCAGCAAAAATGGAGGATATGCAAAATGTATAGTCGACTGTAAAGTTACCGATGTGCCCATTTTAAAAGACATTTTAACTCCAGAAGTTTAGATAAGGGTTGGAACAAAGGACAACGAAATATTTATAGGTATCCACGAACTCTCTATGGATTACTCCCTAAGGAAATTTTGATCCAGCCTTTCATATTGGAAGGTATTTCTATTAAATTATAGTCTCCTATCTAGAGTGGGAAGTGAAGAATATTTGAGCAAAGATGTTTTTCGATGATATGATATTGTTAAATCTGTTATTCTTCTTTATACACCTAACGACAATATAAGTGTATTAATACTCTAAGAGGTAGTTTGGCCACTACGAAACCTATTCATAAACTGCCTCCTACTTTAGACACGTCTGAGGCAACACTGCTTTCGTATACACTTCCAGACAAAAATATGGCTATGTAGTGCGACACCCAAGACCATGTCTGCCAAATCCGTTGCTAAGTGGCTGGAGTAAACAAAATGGAGAGCTGGTACCAGTTTTAAACACGGAACCCATGTTGACGAAAGATACATATATTCTGAATAGTTGTAAATTTAAAAAAGGTGAATCAACTTTTTGCCTTTTTATGTGAAGAATAATTAATATTAGCTTTTTTTTAATAATTTTCAGACTGTACAGGGCCCAATGCTCGTGTAAAAGGAAGCAGATCAAATGCATTGGTTCTTGTAAATGTGTGGCCCAGTGCGAAATGTGGCAATAAAGGTAATATACGTGAAACAATTTTAACCGTAGAAGATGTTAGTTCTGAGAATACTGAAGAGTCTGACTTAGAATAAGATAATTTATGCCAATCATATTGTAGCTTAAAAACCATTCGTCTAGTTTTGTGCTGGTTTTCAGTATATCACACGATTTCTCCTGCATCTTTTGAGTTTGTATTTATATGTTTAAAGCTATATCTACAAATAGTTGGTACAAGTTTCTGTTCAAAACATTTCACAACAAAATTTCCTCTAATAACGTCTTCATGAAATTCTGGATACTTATCAGCAAATTTGTACATGTCCAACAAATATAATTGTTGCCCAAAAAGAATAGTTCACATGGCCAAATGCAAAGAAGTAAGGATGCATTTTTCGAAAACTAGAACAAAAATGTATTCTCCAGTTTCCGCGTCCTTCAACAAACTGAAAAGGAAATGGACTTTATGGAAAAAAAACATGCCTTAATCTGATTTTTGACTCAAGTTCACTGTCAGACCTGCTGCTTTTCGTTAAATCCGTTTCTAGATGAAAAAAATATTTACTTTAATATTAAGTAGATATTTATAATATTTTATTTAATAGCAATAAGCTAATTAATAACTTTTAATAATTTAAAACTTTTAATATAAAAAATCTCAGCTCAGTGGATTTCGCGCTATTAGTATAAAATAATGCACAATGATGCAACTTTCGCAATAGAATATACAACACAACAGCGTTTCAATGTAAAATCGACCCTAACAACATCGCCATCACTAAGAGTCGATTTGCTTTGACTTCAGATTAGAAATCTCGCCCTTCCTCGCATCTCGGCGATTCAGCACTGTCCGTCGTGGCATGCCGTTCGATTTATTTAATTCTTCTTAAACTAAGTATCCAATCGAAATTCTAAAAAAACCCACGTGTTCTTTGATTTTTGGTCTATAATGTTTATAAAAAGTAATTTTTTGCTAAACCCAATATTTTTCGAGGTAGAGCGAGGTAAAAGATTTTTAAAAATATGGGTTTTCAGAACAAGTGATTTTGTATGAAGGCGCTCCATATACAACAATGGTTTGACGTATTTTATAAATAAAATAAAAATAATTTCTAATGTCCAGATCAACATACAAATTTGAGGAATGAAATTTCGGTTATCGTAGATCCGAAAAATAACGAAAAAAAAAATTAGCACTTTTTTTTGTAAGGCTCCCTACCACTCCCCTCCCGCTACGATTTTTGGACGACCAAGTGATTTTGCATTAGAAAGATATTAGAAACGAAAAAAAAATAGGTTTTTACATTTTAGCAACAAAGTGCCACCAAAATCTATTCTAGAAGCCTTTTGTCAGTCTATTTACTCTACTATAATATAAAGTGTAGACATTTATACCTCTCTGGATATCTCATTACATGGCCGAAATATTGTAACTTTCGAATTTTTACGGTTTTTGTTATTTCTGTACTCCTTTTCATTCGGTGTAAAACTATTTCATCTGTTATTCGATCAACCCAACTTATTCGCATATTTCGTCAGTAAATCAACATCTCAAAGGCCTCAAGTTTTTTTTATTACTGTTGCTGTAAGAGTCCAACTCTCCATGCCATACAGCAATGTGGAGAATACGTATCAAGGTATTAATCTGATTTTAAAGTTTAAATGTATTATCTCTATTAATATTTGTATACAACTTTGATTTTTTTTAGGAAAGCCTCAATTTTACGTTGCCTTGGTTATTAGTCACAGCTCCGCATTTCTTCTGGGAAGTCTATATGCGACAGTTGTTGTTTATAAGGAAGAGTCCGTGCAAATATTTTGTAATTTCTTGGCAGTGTGTAAGTATCTAATTTCGAAAGTTTGAATTTTGTAAACCAATACAATTCTTATTTAATTACAAAAATACATATCATTAAATTATTAACACCTTTATAGTCAAACGGGAAATGTGTGTACTTGGGTTTGTTAATTGTTTAGATAAACGTGAAAAACAATTTCACAATTGATGTTAATTCATGCTACTGCTAGTTTGATAAAATTTAATTAAAAAAAAGACAACATTTACTTTGAATTACGACGATGCCCAATACATATCAGTGGTAAGCAATAGCACTACAACGCAATTAATCATTTTTCTCCACTAGTCTAAAATAATACAGCATGGCTTTTTATCCAAGGATTCGCAGCTTTAAAGCAACCAGTTTTTTCTTTAATTTAAGCTATTTAAGGTTATTTTACTCAAAATGCAGCTGAGGTAAAAGTGAGAAATCTCGTATATTCCGTAATTTTGCAATATCTCCGGTTCTAATTATTGGATTAAGATTTACTAAACATAAGTTTGTAGGTTTTTTTAAACGAACAAATTGAATTTTGAAAAAATGATTTATATTTGTTAGTTTACTAATTATAATAATTTAAATAATTAAATTGTTTATAACAAGTTACTGTTACTTCCGACGCAAAAGCAAGTTTGAAATTTGAACTCAGCGGTCAAAATTCGTAAGAATACACACTGAAACTCGGTAAACTATGATTGGCCACTAAACAGCCCTGGCCACTGGTTATTAATATAACCTATATCGGTTATTGCTTTTGGTTAGTAAGTTAAAGAGAGTTTCTCCTTGTTTTACCAACTTTGCACCCTCATTTTCCCTAATCTTTTTATATCCTGGCAATTATAACCTAAAGATTACCTTATTGGTTGCTTCTATTTTCTTAAAATATTATTTACATTTGCAATCACATAAATCAACGCCATCAAATCAACTTTCATTTCTTTTTCGCATATATTATTCACTTTCTAATCTGATTGTTAATCTGATTATTTCTTATACTTGTTTGTAGTTATTCAAGTCTAGTGTGTTTCTTTTCCCCAACTGCTTGTTTACATTCGTTATTATACCACTCAATGTTTCTTTCTCTCTTAACTACTCTCACAGTGTCTTTGCAGTTTCCCTGATTATCAGTTTCATTTATTTGCATTCTTTATATGCAGTACGCTTCTCCCTGCGTCGGTTAAGTTTCCTCTGCAGAGCAACTTTAAGTAATTAAGTTTAAAATTACTTAAAGTAATTTTAAACTGTTTGTCCTCGTTTTAGTGTAGTGTTTTGTACAATTTTATGTTATTTTTAATGTTTCCACATTCTGCGCTTGCCGGATAGTTTACATTTTGACGAAATGTCCCTGAAGATGCTATTTTAAGCGAAAGTACTTGGGCTAGATTTAATTAACTTGTGCTCGATAATAGCCTTATTTTCAAAATTTTTGTTATTCTTGAAAATTTGACAGCTCGCTGTCAAGATAGATAAATGTTATTTGTTTACAAACACATTAGAAGTGTTTTGAGGTTCCTATAAATCAAAACTTAATTTCAAAAATACGGGAACTTTTAAACTCGTCTGCTGCAAAATCAAGTTTTTTGACATATCGGTTTTTGATTTAGCATCACAGAAATTACTGATCTGTCATATTGGTACATTTATTGTTCATAAAATATAACGAAAAGATGTTTACATTCTTTACAGAAAAATATGTCCCCTTTAATAAAAAATGAGCATGTCGCTGGGTTTTTTAAAAATGTTGTCGCAGTTTCTGATAATACCCCTGTTTCGTTTACAGTGTGCCAACGTGTATATTTTTTGATATAGAATACAGTTTGTAATTAATAATTTATATTTTTTAGGTTTAATATGGCTGATGTGGTTGGCCGTACTCCAATATAACATAAAACATAATGTGTTTGTAAGAAGTATGCTGAAACTGCAGGGATATGTGAAACTGAAAAACGAAATCTTGTTTTAAGTAAATGGCATACTGCTTGTTAAGTGTAGTAAATAATAATTTGTTTCAAGAGTCATGTAGAAGACCGTATTTTGTAAAACAAACAATGATTTTATTTGAAAAAAAATTCAAAAAAGAACCATTATTTCCAACTCTTCTTCTTCTTCTTCCTTCTTGTATGTAGGCTTTAACGCCTGTTTCTTCTTTAATATGAGCCTCCTAAATTGTATAAATTGTCGCACCATCTTTGTCTTGGTCGTCTAATACTTCTTCGTCTATTTGATGACTTATCTCGTACTATTCGTACTATTCTTTCCTCTTCCATTCTACTGATGTGTTCATTCCACTCCTGTTTTTCGTTTTGTCACCCATCTATTTAGGTCTTCTATATTGCTTGCTCTTCTTATGTTTTCGCTTCTCTCCCTATTCAAAAGACTTTTCCCTGATATTCGTCGAAGTATTTTCATCTCTGTTGTTTCTAGTAGTCGTCTCGTTTTATATGTGTCAGATCTGGTCTCCGCCGTGTATGTTAATATAGGTCTAATTGCTACTTTATAGATTCTTGGTTTTGTGTCTTGTCTTAGGTGTTTGTTCTTCCAGATTGTCTCATTAAGAGATCTCGCCGCTTTACTTGCTTTTAAGCTTTGTTGTTATACTTATTCTTCAACATCTCCGTAACTAGTTATATCTACAAATGTTAGTGAAAACAGAAAAGACAAGACAACTTACGTCGTAATTTTTCTTCAACAGCTCCATAACTAGTTATTACCATTCCCAGATATCCAAACATTGCTTCCTGTTTTATTATTTTCCCATCAATTTTAATTTTACATCTTAGTGGGTATTTAGATGTTGTCATACATTTGGTTTTTTCTGCCGATATTATCATATTGTATTTCTTGGCTGTTGTATTGAAGATGTGTCATGTATTATGAGGTTGAGAATTTGGGTGCTGCATGATTTACCTGGTCTGAACTCAGCTTGTTTTGGTATATATGTATCTTTGACTGGTTGAACAGTTTCGTTTTTAAATATCTACTGGGAATACGTTTTATTTTTTTAATAGGTTATGTTATCTCACATTACCAAACCAAGTATTTGTCTCACTTCTTTTGTTTTTAGAAGCCTGCGCCAGCGTTTATTTATCCCACTCAATCTGTGCTTGTTTTAAAAGTAATGCTAACTTCTTACGCCCTATTGCTACTATGACTGAAACTTCAGTAAATAAAGTTGTTGTGATGTTATAATTATTTCCTATCCTTTTTAATTTGTCTGATAAGCCCTTTACATGTGGTTTGTTGTCATCTTTGAATCCCTTCTTTTAAATTTGAAATGCTTCTGGTGTTTTGTTGTTTTCTTTCTTCTACTGTCTTGTGGAATTCCTTGTTTATAAATGACAATGTGTAATCGTTTTTTGTTAAAACCTTTGTTAGTAGGTTTCTTCTTCCTGAAATGCCTCATTGAATCAGGTGTTACATTAAATTACTACTCAAACCACAACGTTAACACCAAAAAAAGGAATTTGTATGAATTGAATTTGTAAGAATTTAATACATTCCACATTCTTAAGAGCATATCCTTCCTCCGTGGCTTTCGTCGTTTATTTTGATAATCCGTTTTATTCCGATTCGATAGTATTAATTTCAAAGCATTTGTTTTTTTTTATATGCATGGATCGCCGGTTTATAGCATAACCCCCTTCTCAAAGAACCATTTCTCCCTTTCTCGTTAATCCTGACAGTGACTTTCACTGGAGGTTAATTGGTTAATTACACAATATCTTACAGAATTGCTCAGTTTTCCGTGGGTTTCCCATGTAGCCTAGGTCATACTTCGTGGAGGTGAGAATATGGAGTAAGTACGAGTGTCATAGAGACGCTAACTGGAAACAACACCTTATAATGCGCATCACACCCCTTAGAAAACAGTCCAAAAGGTCGTAAATTTTCTTTAAATGAAGAGAAGATAGATGTGGAGGTTTGCAGGTTCGTTGTAATAAATGTATCATATTAAGAGGAGAGTATGATTAAGAATAAAACTTTACTTGACTTTCAAATTTAGTTTGTTTCTATATTAGGCTCAGAAGTTTTTAATACATTGTTAAATGTGAGATATGAAGTGTGATTTTAACATTCTTTAAAAACATTCCCATCAACTACCTTTGTTTTAAATATCTCCCATTGTTTATGTCTGATGCAAAGGACGAAGTATAATTGCCGAATTTCGAAAGATATAATGTATTAATGGTCAATTGATTAAATTTATTTATATCTGTGATACAAATACCATTGTTTTGTAAGTTTTATTGTAATAAATAACTAAATCAACGATCGTCTTTTATTATTTTATAACGAACATTAGCAAAAATATCGTATATTCTCTCAACTTTCTCTGCCTTTCTAAAATCTCCATTTCTATAAATAAGAAAGATTATACACCAAAACAGCCAACATATACCTGAAACAATAACATCATTATTGATAAACAATTACTTTAAACAATAAACAAACAAAAAGAATAATTAAAATCCGAAAGAAAAATTAACAAAAATGGTAGCCATTATCTTCACAGGATATAGCACCTACATGAGAATATAAATAATTATTGCAAAGTGAAAAAAGCGGAAAATAAATACAATTTTTACTCACCAACAAAAATAAAATTCAATATGAGATCATCAACTAAATACCATCTCATGTGCTTGATTCCTCTTATGGCCATAAATGTCATGTAAATGAAGGGTAAAAACGTAATAAATAGCCATGGCAATAAAAATATAACTGCGTTCTGAAAAATAAGAAAAAAATTAGGGGTACTGTTATACTCAAGCCAACTGTATAGCTTGCCTCAAAATATACCGTCATGGCTTTCCCGTCGTTAAATGATTAGTTTTATTATTGCCATTATTAATATATAAACACGTTTTAAATTTCTACTTGACCGCTGAGGCTTGAATCCTGTACGACTAATGTTGAGGGACTTAAAATTAATAGGTAGTATCAGTAATTAAGAATTTAATAGATCTTTAATAGATAGAGGCCTAATCAAACAAGATATTAGGATATTGCAAGCAAAAGAAACATTGACGACAAAAAAGACGACAGAAATCGGATATCCGTTAACAAGTAAAGTGTTTTACTAAGATGCGTATTCATTTTTTGTGAGTTAAATAATACCAAAAATCCTTTTTCACTCAATAAAAGAATGGGAGGTCATTATTGGCTCAAAGGATTTCTAAAACGAAACCAAAAAATTAGAAATCGTAAAGCACAGAACAGGAATCCTACAAGAGCGCAAAAATTTAAAAAAACAGTGTTTGTTGGATAAGTCCCAATGCATATTTAATATGGACGAGAAAATATGTCGCCTAACGTTACATCATCAACAAATAGTTGCAAAGAAAGATGCCAAACGAGTACACATAGTGGCAAATGAACATGCACAGAATGTTACAATAGTATCCCGTATGGGTGTCGCTATTCCTCCTGCAATTTTATTTAAAGACATATGACTTAAATCAGAATGGTCAGATTCATTACTTCCTGGTGGAATTGTAATGATGACACCTAAAGGCAGCATGACAATTGAGACTTATAAAGATTGGTTGCGCCATTTTGTGAAGTACAAATCAGCTGGCAACTTTGTATTAAGTTTTGATGGTGCTTGTTCTCATCTCGATTTTTTTATAGTTCAAGAAACATATAAGCTTGATATTGACCTATATGGCTTATCCAGCAATACAACACATGAGCTCTAGCCCATGGATAAGGCTGTTTTTAGATCCATCGAGCACTTCTGGGACGATAAGTTTTAAAATAGGGCTTCAAACCAGAGATCGCTCAATAACGAAGAAACGTTTCGAAATACTTTTAATCAAGACGATATATCGGTAGTCAATGCGGCAGTCAGCCAATGCTCGAAGCATTTTATGATGATCTATAGTATCGAACGCCTTTTCATAATCTACGAATATAAGAAAGATAGGCTTGTTATACTCTGTACACTTTTCTATTAGCGTTTTTTATAACTTGTAGATGATCATTTGTTCCGTATCTGGAGCGGAAACCAACCTGTCCACAAGGTTCACAAACCGTTTTGTTATTATCTTCGTGAATAGTTTGTATGTATGGGAGATCAAACTAATATGTCTGTAGTTCTTTAGGTCTGAAGTATGTCACCTTTTTTGTGCATTATGGTTATTATTGCATTATGCCACTGGGAGGGGTTACGCCTCTTGTCAAACAAATGTTTGACACTATCCAACAAATAATTCTAAACCTTAGCTTGGCGATATTACCTTTCGATATGTTAGCATTCATAATCTTATTTTTATAATAAAATGTAGACTCTCTATTGTGATGTTAAATTTACTAAATTCAACAAACACATATATAATTTTGTAGAATAATTCGTAGTTCAAATAGATTATTTCTCTCCATTAGTTCAAAATCTCTATCACATATACCAAAATCTCTCTGCTCATGATGTACCAGTCCCTCTCATATGGCTGCCTTTTTATACAACGGGAATTACTTTTAATGAAACAGCAGACCATTAATGCCAAATAAGCTACTAGTCATAGTACCGGAATCACCACAATTCAACTTGCTAACGATCTCAAATTTGTTTTCAAAAAGTCAGTAGAGAATACTCGACAAAACTTATGGCAAAAGAACAAATTGAATTCATGAACACCAACCGTTTATTGGTCATCTCTCCCTGGACTTCTTAACCAGAAGAGAAGATTCCGAATCAACCACACCAAACTTACTTATGGTTTCTTGATGTCCTCAGAAACACGTCTAAGTTGCCACCATGGCAATGTTTACCTGACTGTGAAACACATCCGACTTTAACCAAATCACCAAACTGTATAAAGCACTGCACTTAAAACCTACTCTTAAGGAACTGCTCAATGAACCTACAGAAATCACGAACACTATAGAGTTTTCTAAACACCGCTGAATTCTACCACAAGATTTAACCTATTAGACATTAGTTAAAGTGATATAATTATTATTTGTTTACATTATTTATTTTTATTTATTTAATATAAGTGTTTCTGTACCAATGACCATAGTTCTCAAGGTACTTTATGTAAATAAAAAAATAGATTCTTTATTTGCAATTTGTCGGATTACCAAGAACATTTTTCCAAAAAATTTCGGACTATAGAATATCTTAGGTAGTACTCTATAATCCGACAAATTTCATGGTTTGACATCTTCATGCGAAATGTTTATCGAATTACCGGTAGTCCACTGTATTATGATGTCAATCAAAGAAACAAATTTATTTACTGAATAAATAATACGTCACAATCGTTTTTGACGTTAAAAATGCACATTCATCACACTTATTATACTTATAAACTCTTACTTACCTTACAGATAGAATAGAATAGACAAACTATCATTATTATGTGTACTCCGTATAAAACAAGGCCTTCGATGTTTTCTCTGAATTGTAAGTCATCGTTTTTTTCATAATAAAGTGATTCTTTCACAGTAGTGTCTATACCAAAATATAGAAGTACCTAAAATATAATGTATAAAAATTCAAGTATAAACTTGTGGCTAACACATTTAAATAATGCTAACACTAAAGTGTGAAACACTAGTATACTCATGGACAAAAATATCGAATATTTTGGAATTTTTGGTCAATTAAGTCGTTTATTGTGATGAAGAGTTTATTTTAACAATGCTTAATAAATAATTTTAAGTTTTTATGCGGAGAAAATTGCGAAAAAAATAATGCTTAATGTAAGGTAAATAAGGTTATATTACTCTAAACTTAAATTCTAATTTAAATTGCTTAAACAAGTCTTTTCAACCAAAAGAAGTACATGATCAGTAACGAGTATTCCCCCTCTAGCTCTTATTACTCCTTGTATCTTTCTCGGCAAGATAGCAAGTACATTTTAGACATATCCTTGGGGAATTGCATTCCGTTCATTCTATGCAGCAAGCCAAAGCTGCCCTATCGTATTTGGAACGGGATTTTTTTGTCGTATGCGACGTTTTTGCTGATCCCACATGTACTCTATTGGATTTAAATCCGGGCCAAATCGGTGGCCAATCCAATCTTCGAATTTGGACTTCATCAAGATAATTACTCACTACGGCAGGGGCATGTGGTTAAACATTACCGTGCATTAACATGAATCTGTTATATCGAATGTAACCAACATATGGAACAACATGATCTTGCGGATGTTTTTAACGTAAGCATCACCAGTCATCCCTCAAATCACTTTCAAAAGTGCGGTGCCTACCTCCCAACTAATATTTTCCAAAAGCATTCTGCAGCCACCTCCAAACCGAACAGTCTGGGCGAGATTGCAGGTGGCGACTTGTTCTTCATTGGTTTCGACCGACTATTTCGACATAATAGGATTCTGGTCCCATCAGTGAGAAAACATTTTTCCAATTGTCTATATTTCACTGAATAAACATGTAATCTTGAAAATTATAAAGACAAGCTTTATGATTTTGAAGAAGTAAAATTTTGGCAGGGAGTCTGAGCTTTAATTTTGCTTCTTTTAATCTCCATCTAATTGTTTTTAAACTCACATTAACTTGCTTACATTTAGTAACTTATTTATGAGGTGCATCAAGGTCAATGAACGATTACGTGTAGAATTAAGAACCAAAAAACGGTTATCGATTGCGATTGTGCACCTTGGGCGTCCTTAAATAGGTTTTTGTACAACATTTCCTGTTTCATAGTACCTTTTTAAAGTATTCGAAACTGTACACAATTCCTTGTACACAATTGCAATCTGTGCTGCTTGAGCTTCATCGCAGTTTCGAATTGGTGGCATAATTGTCTTAAACTTAGTTAAAATAAAACAATATTTAATTAAACTTAAACTAAATATAACCGAATTAGTATGATTTTCTCTTTACGTCAAGAAGGATTTTTATGATAAAATGCACGAATGATACTAAACGCTGAATAAACGTCAAAATATTCCAAACCAGTTAAGAATATTGGCCTACGATATGAGCATCATTAGTAATCTAATCTAATTTTGAAATAATAGTGACTACAAAAAACATTGGAAAATTTCAAAATATTTGATATTTTTGTCCATGCGTGTATGTTGTGCAAAAAGTATAGAAAGATGCTAATTTCTCACGAATTTGAAAAATTTCGGCACGAGCGAAAGCGCATAATTTATAGTGCGTGCAAGCACTCTTGACCATGGAGCTGCGCGAAGGCGGAGTCAAATTCACGTAAAGGCAGAACTGTTCTATTGTAAGTGGAATTATACATTGCATAGTACAATGCGTTTCGCACGGAAGTGGGGACTAAACCAAATTTCGTCTACTGCGACGTGGTCAAGAGTGCTTGCACGCACTATAACAACAATTTAAACCAAAACTTTCTACACACTAGTCTAATTTATTTTTCTATTTTACGACTTTTCATTAAGGGGTTTTTTAATAGTCAATCGTAAAATATTTTATTATTTTTCGAATTTGCAAAACTAGAAAACAATAAAAAGGTCATAAAATTTCCCCTATATCGTTCTCCTCAGCTGTCGCAGCTCGCTGTCTAACTATTAAACATACATACTCGTCTGCATAGCAAATTAGTGTTATCCTTATCCAATTCCTACGTTTGTTGGGATAGCTTGAGATTTATGACTATTTACATAAATATTTGTCGTGATCCTAATAGATTCAAGGCACGGAACATAATAATAGATATGAAAACAGACTCAGATCATTGCCTAGTGATCTCGACATTGAGGGCTAGAATTAAAAAAAAAAATCATTAAAGAAAATAAAATGAAAAAAAAAAAATGGAATGTGCAAAAGCTGAGAGATGCGACAATTGCAGAACGATACGCGGAGAACATCACTAACCGGCTAAGAAATCAAAATGTAAATGAAGAAGGCCAGGAAGATATAGATTCTTGCTGGACCAGAATAAAGGAAGACATTGAAGCAGCAACGAAAGATAAAATAGGAACAGAAAATTTTGCCTGTAAAAATCATTGGTTTGACAATGAATGTAAGAATGCAACAAAAGAAAAAAATTAAGCCTACAGTAAGCCTGTAGAGAATTGCCAGAGAAAGAGAAGAGAAGTAAAGAGTATACAAAAAAAAAACGAAACCACTTAAATAAGGAACTAAATGTATATACAGAAAACCTCAACAAAGGGAAAGTATTTTAACATCAACATAAGAAATTTAACATCAGCAGAAAAGAATTCGAGAAAATATGTATTGAATAGAAAAATAGAGACATACACAGACCTCTCACGCAGCGGGATTTGGAGTTGCAATATTGCCTGGAAGAACTTTGGCCAGATGAATCGGATAACAATTCTGATAAATCAGAACCTGGATCTGAAACAGAAGATGCCGTTATAGAAGCATTCAGTCCATCTGAATCAGAGTTCGAACCAGCAAGCGAAAATGACTTAAATCCAGTAGTAAGAAAAGAAAAAGAAGTTCTAAAAAGAGTAATAAGTTGGGAACACAGTTTACTTTAGTATTTTAAAGAAAAAAAGTACTAGATCTAAAATCGACTTGGAAAAGAAATGTCCTGCTCAGCAAACTCCATCAAACGAAGAAGAATCTCCAGAAATTGTAGCTAATGAGCAGCAAACTCGGTTGCCGTCGAGTTTAAAAAGTAAAATGGACAAAGATGTCCCTCTCAATCAAAGACCGCTACTAAAACTCCAAAACGTAACTTCGTACATTTTGTTCAAGGACCTCTGATAAAATCAAAGAAGCACAAACTCCCTTAGATGCTTTTCATTATTTTACGAGTCCAGAGGCTCTGACAAAAATTATAGGATACACAAATTCTGAAATTTCTGTTAGGGAACAAAAATATAAGGTCGAGAAACTTACAAACTCCAAAGTGAATATTGACGAATTGCATGCACTCTAGGTTCACTTATTTTTGCTGCTGCCCAAAAAGACAATCATTTAGTGAAAAGACAAATGTTTGATGACAAAATTTCTACTAAAAACAGACCTATTAGCAGCCATTCGTAATATCTTATAAAGAACTGCAAAACGTCCTATACTGATCATACCTAACAATCGATGAGCAGCTACTGGCTTTTAGAGAAAGATGTCCTTTCCGGATGTATATCCCGAACAAGCCAGCCAAATATGGACTGAAAATAAAAAATGTCACGTAGGTACCAAATATACGTTCGATGCAGAATTGTATTTAGGAAAGGGAACTAAAACCAATGAACTTTCTCTTGGAGAATATTATGTAAAACAATTATCTAGGGTGTGTACGGACGTAACCGTAACATAACCATGGATAATTGGTTTACGTCAGTACCGCTAGCATCAGAGCTCTTGAAACCTCCTTATAGTTTAACTATAGATGGTACTCTACGACAAAATAAAAGAGAAATACCTCCCGAGATGATAAATCTCAAAAATCGTAAAATTGGCCATTCCTTATTTGCTTCGATGGTGAAAAAACAATGGTATTCTATAAGACAAGAGCAAATACGTCTGTGCTTCTTCTATCGACAATCCACAACGGTCCAGTAGAATGTGATCCAACTGAAAAGCCAGATATCATTAAATTTTATAATGCAACCAAGTACGGAGCAGATACATTTGACCAAATGTGCGGAAACATGAACATCTCCAGAAAAACAAGAAGATCGCCTCTTTGCCTGTTCTATGGCATGATAAATATGGCTTGCATAAACTCTTGGATAATTTAGAATCATAACCAACAACGACATCAGAAAAAAACCATCACAAGAAATAAATTTATGGTCATTTTGTACGAAGAACTGACGAAACCTTGGCTACAGCATTGTGTAAATTGGCCAACTTTGAACCGCTCGGTAAAGTTGCTTATTGAAAATATTTTAAATCTGAAGCCCATTGAGTTAGAATATATGGAGAAGCTATGAGCATATTAACGTGTGTATTAAAATTGGCGTCAGTAGGTATGTCTAACGATCATACCAATATGGCGGTGGGATCAGGGCCTGACTCAATAATATTAAAACTACTATACAAATACGACTGGTTATTCAGAAGATTTAATCATAATCTAAAAAAGTGCAATATATTTTTAATAAACTATGATTTATCTATCCGCGGTAAACACTAAAAACACGACATATTATACATAAAGATAAATTAGTACAGTCAAATAACAACTTGTATCTGAAAGAGATAATAATATAAATAATATTTTAAAGGGTAAAATGAATATAGGGTATGAAATAAAAGAAATGCGTTCGTTTTACAATTTATATATTTGATAACTACAAATTAAGTCACATTTAAAAATTTATTTTAATTAACAAAGTTAGAAAAGTTATTATTAAAAAAACAAAATTGAATATCTGCCCAATATCACAATGGAAATACTGTGTAGAAATAAAAATAATTATGTTGAAGTAGTTAATAAGATATTTTAAGATAATTACAATGAAGATATTTGAGTATTCTCAAGAAAAGCACGATCTACCTTACTTATAAGATTTTTTTATGAATACTATTAATTTATTTTCTGAAGTACGGGCCATTACTTTGTTTACATATTTGTAGACTAACCTGTGGAACGTTATTGCTGAAGATTTTTTATTCACATTGCTTCTGATACCGGAACTACGTTGAGAACAAGAAACCATTGTTATGCACTTGTTTTATTATATCACAATATAATAAAATTAAAAATATTCGAAAAACAACAAACGTAAAGCATACACGATCTGTTAAAACGATCATAACAATATGGGCGAAATGAGATCGTTTTTAGTCACATCCCCTCTCCATAGATTCTAACTCGATGCTGGAGCCGCAGCAAGAACGAATAATGCCATATTGTGTCAAAACGTGTCATGTGTCAATTTGGTGCTTCTAAAAAACGTCGAATGACAACTCATCATTACGAGCACACAGACATTCATTTTGTGTTGAACATCGCGCCCTTTGTTGTCAGCAGTGTAGTTCTAACCTGTAGAAAATATGATTTTTTTGCGATTTTTAGGTTTTAGAAAAATAATCTCTTTGTTCAAAATACTTTGTAAAATAAAGATAAATAAAATACTTTATCAGTGACCAATTTTTTTTTCTCAGCCTAGCAAATTTTACGATTGTTAGTGTAAATAAGGGTAAAAAGAAGGTTACTATTCTAGGTTTAATCAAGTACTTACCGCATGTATGATTCCTATAAGGCACACAGCAAGTTTGGTAAAATTTATCCTAATAAGTCTTTTTAATACCATAGTATACCAAATGTCATTTTTTATCAACTGTTTAACATTTTATTTATTTTTTTCGATTGTATACGTATATTTTCATTGATTGGCTTGAATCAAAATAATTATATATAAAACAGCTCAACATTATACACGTCGTGGGTTGCCGATTTTGTATTTTTAGTCAGTTCTTATCACCTTAAAAATAGAAATACTTGATTACTTATCATAAATTACACAATTTAAACAGGTACTAAATTACTATTATAATGTTTTTCCTGAACACTGAATACATAAAAGTACATTATAATTGTTTTTGTTGGAGAATTGAAACGTATAATCTAAAAAAAATTTTCTTGAACTTCGTTAGATCACCACATCTCTCTCCACAACTTCTTTTCTGGCGTTTTCCAAGTATTTTTGAGTTAACTCAGTTACGATATATCATGGGTAGACTAGGCGGGATCTGTAGAAATTCAGACCATAATGGATATTTTCCATAAGAAGCTAGTTTTTTGCTGGAATCCCTTCAGGATGTGCCCAATATCGATAATCACGATATGCGCCAAAATGTCTCATTTTTTTGCTCTTATTTTCGTTTATAATTCGGAAAATATTGATCCTAGAGAAAAAATTATAAGAAGTTAAAAGTTTTGTTATTCAATTTTACACAATATTTCGTTAGCTAGAAATTGAAAATTTAATGTTTATTGTTGAAAAAATAGCAATAATTGGAAACAAAGTACAAAAAAATGAAGTTACTCCTTTAAATGTTTTCGACTTTCTAAACTTGACTTACAAGCTACATATGCCGCCTCGAAAAACTTTTTAATATGTTAAACGTGTGAAACGGAAATATTGAAACTCTAAAATATTTTTCCAAACGATATTTTTGACCAAGCAGCCTTATATTCATATGTATTCATTGTCAAAAAAAATGGAGAGCATTGAAATCAAAAAACTTTTTGGAGCCCATTTGCTCTTTGGTTGTGCTCGGTATCCTCGTTTATCCTGGTATTGGAAAGCTGGGTTAAAAATATAAAGTATATCTGATGCTTTACCCAGGGATAGGGTTATGCAACTGAGAACCTGCCTTTACTTTGTTGACACAAATTCTTCCATTGAGAATCATAAAAATAACAGGGTATGGAAGGTGCAACCAGTTATAGACGCGGTACGAATAGCATGTCTTTAAATTGAGAGATCAATAAACAACTATTGGGACCGTGCAAGTTCGGAAGAGCGACACCTGGTGTCGTAAATCAGCAAAATTTACTGCGCTTTCATGTTAGATCGAGGTTACCGGATAACTGTCAAGGACGTAACCCCAAAAAAGAATAAGAAAAAAAAAGTAAGATTGAGGTTATGTCGGTATGTTAATAAAAGGTAAACGTTGTATCAAAGAATATAGACGCTTATTCTATATTCTTTGGTTGTATGTAGTGTAAATACAAATAAATACATTATTAAATTACAGCATTACTGTTAATATGGATGCAATAATAAAAACTGGATTTGAGAAAGTAAATCACCAAATAACTTTTCAACCAAGCACTGAGTCAAAGGGAAAAGCTTTAGTAGTGGCAAATTATGTTAAGAATGTGGAAGAATTTAGAAAAAAAGGACAAAGCTATGTAATACATAGCTAAACTTAAAGTTACATTAGCATTAAACTTGATTTTTGGGTTAAAGTGAAGTCTAAGTGAGTGTTATGAAACTAAAATTTTCACTTAAAAGTGATCTTTTATTTATTATTTATTTCAAACTGACTTTAAAATTGGGCACAAGAATAATGCATCATTTAGGTTATGTTACTTATTTATTATTTTTATGATAATTCTACTTTTCTCTTTGTAGTAATTTGTGCTTGGAAGTTGGAAACGAATAAAACTTAAATTGACAATTTTTTGTTGTATTTTTACAATTTATAACACAGCATTTACTAAATCCCATTTTCTTTAGTGACAGAAGGTGTAAATAAACAAAGGAATATGAAATATGACAATTTGAATTTATGAAATCTATGAAATGTGCAGTAAAAAATGCAAGATTTCTCCGCTACTCGCGCACGATCGTTTCTCGTATCACATCCAAGTACTTGTACGTCACCAATAGCATTGGCGAATAGATGATTCCTTTTACTGGTCGGTACTCTTTACGTCAATATGTAAAAGGCAAACCACGACCAGTAGGCTTAAAAATTTTTGTACTGGCTTCATCAATAGGTGTAGTTCTCGATTTTGAGATATACCAAGGAAATCAAACTCCTCTTTCAAATGCAGAATATGGACTTGGACCTTCTGTAGTCTTGAGATTAACAACATCATTGCCAGAAGGATCGTTTTTGTACTTTGACAGGTATTTTACTACACCTCGCTTAATAAATAAGCTTTGTGAACTAAAAATATATGGAACTGTAACCGTAATGAACAATCGAATCAAAGTTAACTTTGTGCCAGATAATCGTCATCAGAGAAGTTAAAGTAAACAATTTTCCTTCAAAGAACAAAAACATGGTGGCCGTTAAATGGAGGGCCTCAAAGTCTGTAGTTTTATTGTCGAATGCAGCTGGAATTGATCCTCAAAGTATAGTAAAAAGGTGGTGTAAAAATGAAAAAATGTAGAAATAACACGTCCTGATTGTAGTTAAATCTTACAATAAGAATATGGGAGATAGGTCTATCATAGATCAGCAACTCGACTATTACCGAAGCTGGAAAAAAACCAAAAAATGGACCTTAAAAGTAATAATCCACTTTTTGGATCTTGTGGTAGTAAATGCTTGGATGCAATATAAAGCTAACTGTCAAATGAATAATATTCCAAAACAAAAGGTAAAGGATCTCCTATCCTTGGGAATGGAACTTGCAGAAACATTACTCACAACCCCTAAAAAAACACGTTTTACTAATAGTGATCAAGAAGAGGAAGAAAGAGAGCCTCCAACAAAAAAAACTACAAAATTATAGGGCTGCAATGCCAGCTGAAGATGAAAGGTTGGATAGCTTTGAGCATTTTCCAACTGTAGATCAGCTAACTACAGCCAGATTTTGCCGCAAAAGCACTTGTGGTTGTAAACTGATTTGGATCAGTTTGGACAAAGGATCAAAATTGGTTTTTGTATTTTCATACACGGTAGATTTCATATTTTGTATTACCTAAAATAAAACCTATCATACACAATTGTGTAGGTACCTTTTTTTAAACACTGAACATAGATTTTTTTTAATATTTTTTCTCTTATAAGTGTTAAACTCCAAGTATCATTTGTACTAAATTTTACCAAGTTCTGAAGAAAAAATTATGTTCAGGTCTGAAAGGGTTATGTATGTGATTATGTTATAGGCACATATGATGAAAATATTAGGTTATATACATTTTTTTTCGCCCATCTTACTACTTTAAAATAAAATTATCCATGTCTATCTGTCCGTCCGTCTGCCAGTAAATATAACTGCTCGGATATTATCATAGATAGAATGACAACTGAGGTGTCCAATGAGAGGTTATACCACAAGGATGGTATTAAGGATGAGAAGTTTAACCTCGGACGTCCGGTTCCAGACTTACAACCGGAAATACTATTTTAAAGTCGTCGAAATAGTACAAGCAATATATTCGATGCGCCTTAGAAAGATGAGAAGAAATATAATACTTCCGGTTAAACAGCTATAACCAGAAGTTAACAAAATGAATCAAAATTAGTGAAATCGTATATCAATAGACGCAAAGTTACACAACAGTTCAAATATGGACTTCCGGTTCTACTACCGGTCACGGTCATTTTGAGTGAAAACCTAAGACTTCCGAAGCCCAATTACCGGTTAAATAAAAGGACATTTTATAGTCTCACCCCACACAATGCACTACTTATTTTGAATCGCTATAGGTAATATAATTTTTCCCGTCACTACTCCACTGAACTGATTTTTTGATTCACTCAACAAGTGAATAATCATCCTGTAGTAACTCCTAACTTTACAACATATTAAACCGTGCTTAATATAAAATATATTCTTAGAATTTGGTAAACAAACAGTGAATAATTCCATTATTTATCATTAAATAGATTAAACAGTGTACTTGTTTACAAATATTCAACCTTCGACTCTCAAATTTGCCACCGCGTGGATTTGGCATGCACTCCCCACTACTTTTTACATACTTACATAGTAATCAACCAACAGGTAAAATTCTTCACGATTAGGACAGATTTTTTAAATTCCTGTCAAGTTATATATAATATGTCTAACAACACTTTACACTAATAACTTCAATACAAAATATTTTTAACAATGACTTGACTAACTTAGAACTTACAACTGTCCCCGCCCACTAATAAGTTTATTTAGTCACGGGATTTCTGTTGTGTTGTGGGTTTTATGATGGTTGTAAATTTTTAGTCAGAACCGGACGCGCCCATTTCTAATTTTATTTTTATCAAAAAATTTTGGTCTGAATTTTCTATAATAATTTAATATTTAATCAAATTCTTATTAAAATATAAAGAAAGAATTAATAATATATAAATAATTTAATAATGTCAAATAATATAGTTATGAAAAAGTTATAATTATACTTATTTTAATATTTTTTACCTTATAAATAGTCTCTTATTAAGACTGCGACATAAAATTAAAAAAAAATTTGTAACATAAAATAAATTATCCACTATAAAATAAAACTTTTTAACAAACAATGCTTAGATAAAATGTTTCTTTTTTCTTAAATACAGGGTGTTAAAATAGATTTTAAAAATAATGGCTAAATCAGTGCTAGACCTAATGCTGGTAGTGAAATTCAGGAATCAAAGCCTGAGAACATCTTTTCGGCACATAATAATAAAAAATCCAGCTTTCTCCAACATCACAAAAATTATACTGATATTATGGCATCTCCTGGGGTAAAATGTGTCGGGAGTAAAAAGAGACTCCGTTCGCAATTATGGGTACAGGAACAATACTATAGATTAGAGCTACCAAAACTGTTCTATTACAAGAAAAATCATGGTGGTGTCTTGAGTTTCATTGGTAAGATTATGAAGTTATTGAATGCACTTAAAAGAAGTACCAATTATATTAATT